GATTTACCATTAGGCAATACTAGGCAGTTGCCTAGAGCCCCAAGTTCCTGGGGGCCCCATAAAACTCTGTTCTCATGTATGGTTAATACAACTATTCCTTATTTGTGCACATTAATTGTGTTTTTGATAAAAATCCTTTGGCTAAAATGCCATCAGAACACTTATGATATTAAGTGTGTCTCAGCCCCCCCCTTCAGTGTCCACCATATTGGATCAGTCCATTTGCTGCACATGTTCAGAAAGGTCCAAACAGACAGCAGTAAACCATTTGAAAACAAATGATGCAAAGAGCAGTGTTGCCAACTTAGCGCTTTAGTCGCTATATTTAGCCACTTTTCAGACCCCTCTAGCACTTTGATTTCTAAAAAGCTCCTAGCACCAAATCTAGAGACTTTTTTCTGCCACTGGACACTTTGGAGACAACATCTAAAAGCAGCAAACTCTGCTCTCCAGAGCAAGTAGATTGATAACCCCGCCTCCTGCTCTCCTCTATCTTGTCTGCTGTCATGATTCATGCAGCTATTATTTCATCCAAATGAAAAATGGAGAATAGATAAGCAGATCATGGCTTGTCTACAGTGAAAAGAAGGACTGGGTTATTTACTTTGGCCTTTTTGGAAACACAGGAAGGAGCAATCAGCTAAGTGAGCTTAGTGCTTGGAAAACATCTTTCATTCCTTTAGAGACAGCATGAAAAGTCAGCTGAGTACAAAACATAGAGAGGAAAACAAGAAGAAAAGGGACAAGAAGAGAGGGACACAACCTAGAACAGATAATGGATGTCTATTCTATTAACATTTATCTATCTGTAGAATGGGGCTGTTTTATGTGTTGTCTTCTCAGTTCAGAGGGGCCCCCTGCCTGTCTTTGCCTAGGGCCCCAAATTTCCTAAATCCGCCCCTGGTTACAAATGTTTGATTCATTTTTTTTGCAGGTTTGTGAAGATAAATGGAAATCCTACTATCCAACCAAGTTTGATAAACGAAAAAAATAATTAAATGTAATACAAAGTAAATATAGTTTATCAACCTGTGTTAGATGATAATGGTTGTATAATGTAAGTGGTTGGTGTGTTTTAGAAAATACACACATAACATTAAGTAGAGCAATCTAATTTTTTCATCTTTACCATTTTCTGCCTTTTTTTTCTGTATATTCATTATAAAACCCACATGAAGTTCTCTAGTTGTTTTTCTCATGACACAACAACGCCCTCTTGTGACTGATTAAAGTTGTACACTGTGTAAAACAAGCCCTGACTCAGTAGACGCATGTACATCTTTTAATCTTAATTTTTTTTGTATTTTGGGATGTTAAAAATGCACAATAAGGGAAAACAAATACTTTTTGCCTTAGATTTTCAAAGCATAGATAACTGAAACAGAACATTATATCATTTTTTGTAGGTCAACATTTAGGTTTCTGACAATGAACAGATTCATTAGCCATCTACATAAAATGGCCTGGTCATACAATATCCACACAACTCTAGATATATTGCCTCATATGTTTATCATACATTTTTGTTTTTTTTAAGCCATAAACAATGCAAAATCATACATAACATATTAAAGTGAGCTCAGCAAAACATTTTTTTCAGACTGCACAAGTAAATAATTGTGGTTACTTTCATAGTCATCATGCAGCAATTAAGAAGGATAAGCTAAAGATGTACTCATCTCTCTCTCATATAAAACAAGCAGGGAATGTGCCTCTTATGTTAGTCGCAACACAACATTAAAACAATCCCTTTAGATTCCTGTGTTGCTTTGGTAATAAAGTAAAGACACACAGGGGGCTAATATTGTGATGCACGTTTCTGTGAGACAACATATTTGTGCTTGAATTCATACATGTAAAGAAAATTAAGGTAAAAAAATTATACCTGGTTCCTATCAAGCTCATAGAAGCTATACAGATTCCTAAATTCCTTTGCGTGATAGGACATATATTCACCGATCACCTTGCAGAATTTTACATATGCGTTATTTCTTCATGTTTACTGTGTGTGAGACATGTACAAATGTATACAACTTCATACTTTTGGGGTTTAAAAAAGGGAGCTTTACCCTTAATCTACATTTGTGTACTTCAGCTTTTTGTGGTTCTTCTTAGGGAGGCTATTGTCCCAACTGGTCTAGAATCATCCATGTGTGTTTCTGTCATTTAATGACTAAAGGTTGTCCAGATTCAGCATATTAGTCCTGAATTCATTTCCTACACATGATTGTTTTCTTACTGTTTACCCCAGAAAAGGCAAAGGAAAAGGAGCTTGGAACTACAATTTGCTCAGAATCCTCCCGCGTCACTTAACTCAGCCTCCATCTAACCATGAGATAAGCATCATCACTGCAATGCAGATAACACAATTCACTCTGACAGGGGGGTGAATAAACCTCAAACTGTTTTTCTCACCAAATAAAATAAAAATCATGTTGAAACCAACTTGAGGAAATCAAAACCTTTAACAAGAAACGCAATATAGTCGCTGCTGCAAAAGAGAAAAGTATAGGATTGCTGACCAGGTTAATATGTGTTATTTGACAGTGAATTAAATTTGTATTCTTGACACCACTCAATATCCAAAAAAGCATTTTGCATTGAATATGTCTAGATGCATCCCAGCAGACACAAAAAGGACGAGGCAGCTGATCAACAGTGTGAAGGCACTGAAACCAGTGACTGAACTTTGACTCATGTCTGCTGTGAGCCACAGTGGATTGCAAAAGTATTCACACCCCTTGAACTCCTTGTAATCTTATGTAAAAGAAAACACAACGAATAGAAAAAATTACAAATAAAAAGTAAAAAAAATGTGGTGTCAAAAAATATTCATCCCTCTTTTTTGAGTTTAACCAATTTCCTTTAGAAGTTTCCTAGTGATTAACAAAAGCCATATTGGTGACAGCAAATATGTGGAAAAGGGTTCTCTGATCACTGGAATGTATTGATTTTTTTTTTTTATCAAAATGCAATATGTTGAGGAGAACTAATCCAGCACATCGATTTAAATCTGTAAAAGCAGCAGCACCTGGAGTTAAGAGGGGCTATCAATAAGTAATGCCCCTGACCCACTTCAGATGTTTGATCGAGCTGAAATTTTTCATGTGCCGTTATTTAAATCTCTATAAATTAAGTAGCAAATTACAGCTCTGAACTATTTGTGGTTTCCGACTTTGAACTGGCGTTTGAACTGAGTAAAGAGAAAAGAAAGAAATTGAGCCTGTTGAGTTTTGAGCAGTGATCCGGTTTTTCTAATTGACTCACTTCACCAGAGACTTTTGATGAAATTAAAGTAACTTATGGTGATGTCCATTATATGACCCTGCAAAATGTTTTACAAGGTTATATTATGGGCATTATCACTATAAGTTACTTCCATTTGATCAAAAGTCTCCCATTATGTGCATCCTTTCAAATGCAAAAACTCAGACTTGACTCAGTTTTAACACCAGCAAATCAGAAACCACAGTTAGTTTAGAGCTGTAATTTGCTATTTAATCTATAGAGATTTAAAATACTTCATATGCAAAATTTCAGCTCGATCAAACTTCGGGAAGTGGGCCAGGGGCATTACTTATTGAACGCCCCTCTAAAATTGTAATGGAAAACTGGAATGTAGAGCTCTGCTTTTTTGTCTTTGGTTACAAACAGAAGGTGATTACCACCTATTGTACATATGCATGTGGCGTAAGATTGATAAAAAATAAATTATATTTGGATTTGAAATAAATAAAAAAATCTTTACAGTAAAAGGCTTTTTTGTCAGACATATCACAGCTACTTTAATCAGTTGTGTCTGGAAAATCCTTCCCTTAAATGTTAAAATCGCCCAGTCTATTTTTACTTTGTTGTTGAAAACTCAACTATTTGCTCTGGCCTTTAACACAAGCTCCATAATTATTTTTATTATTTGTATTAGTATAATTATTATCTTCTTTTTTTAATGTTTGTGTAACTTGTAATTATCTTTTTACTCATTTGTTGCATTTTATAATGTTTGTTTATACAGCACTTTGGGCAGATGTAGCTGTTTTTAAATGTGCTATAAAATTAAAGTTGACATTGCCAATTTCTGGTTCCATGTTGTGAAAGGCTGCTGTAATAAGTAGGGTGTTTTTTCACAAATTTGAATGCTTGCACGTTGCAGATCACAATGGCAATAAAATTTAAAAGTGGAGCCATTTTTAGTTTCTTTGGCATTAAAATGAGAGATGAGAAGATTGAGATTTAATGAAAGAATGATGATGCAGGGACTAGGGAGGTTATGAGTGAGGTTAGGCCACTGAAAGTACAACAGTTGAAGTAATGAGTGAAGACTGGGAAAAAGATACTGCTATAAGTGGTGAAGATGAAACAATTTCATTCAGAGAGAGAAAGAAGGCAATGTGGACGAAACAAAGTCAGGATATCCAGCCTATCCAAATGGACCACCAAGTATTTCTGATTCTGATTCCTGTTTGATGGGACAGGTGTTGTGAATGAAACGGTGTCCAGCTTGAAAGAGCTCCTGTGTGTCGCTGAATGTGTGCAGTGACTTAAAGTATACTTTAGTAAACACTTTATATACTTCTCAGTGTAAGTCAAGAACACTTGACTATACTTTTGTTAAGTATATGAAATATAGTTTAAAATAAGTAAACTCTAAGTGCACTGCCTGATTTTAAGTATGAAATTAGTGCACTTTTAGTATACTTGAATAAACTACTTTTTGCTAAGGTAAAGACCTCTGCTGTAGAGTAATTTCAATTCTTCCTCTGAATCTGTCTTATGCATTTATTCATTTCTTTTTTTTATTATTTGGAACTTTTTTTATCAGTTTACTTTTCTTTGTTATAAAAGTAAAAAAAAAATCGTTTCGGGTTTCACAGATATTCATTAAAGGTTACCTACCGGTATATATGTGAAACAATATCCAGTACCCAGTTTATGGAAATACTGAAAAACCTTCTCTTCTCACTCGCTTTGTAATGGACATTTGGTGACATCTGGTGGTTTAAAATGTGAACTACAGCTTGGAGTTTCAATGTGGAACGTCACCCTACGTCACCAGGAAGTCCTCCATTCCTAAAGCCAGCAGCATCATGGCGAACAGCACAGACACACGTGAGTCTACTACACAGAACAACAAAACATCTTAAACAGTTTCATTTTGGAAAAAAACAAACAAATGTTTATTCTTTATTTATAAACAAATGTTACTCCTGCGCTCAGTGGAGTAACAACGTCCTTTAGCAGCAGTTTGCCGAGCTGTGGGCTGTATCGGTGCTGCAGCAGGGCTACACAGTTTGTATTGTTAGCTGTGTTGCTCATTGTTGTGTCTTTAAAGCTGTTATGAATTTTTACTCTAACAGATATTGAAGAGATGCCTGAGCTCTCTGATGGAGATGAAGATGATGATGATGAAGAGCAGTGGATGGATGAGGAGAGGCAAACAGTTACCTGCTTATTCTGCCACAAGTGAGACAATATCTTAAATATTTAATTGTTTTCTGTCATTTATAGTATTCTCCAGTTTTTCCCTACTTGGTTAATGTATTACTCGAATTGCAATAATACGTTAAAAGTTAACTTTGAAGGAAATTAGCCTAAATCAAGAACATAAAGAATTGTTTGTGATGTTGTTTTTATTTCATGGGAACTATGGAACATTCAGTAGTAGAAATAGATAAATGCTCAATAAAAAAAATAAGCATACAATTAATTGCCCCTAAAAATACAATAAACTAATAAATGTAAGTACAAATTAAATTATACAGTGAGAGATAAATCTATGAATCTCTTTTAATTAGCTTCTTTGTTTTTTCTCCTTTGTAATAATTACCTTATTTATTTATTGGCCATTATAATCTTCAACTTTATTTATTTATCACTGTTTTTTTAAGCATTTCTTTATGTGCATCTGATAATATTTTTTGTCTGTTTATTCTTCCTTTGTATTTTTTACCGTATATATTTCTTATTTCTGCCTGTCGTATTTACATTTCTGTATGCATTTCTGCCTCATTATGTAAATAAGGAAGGGGTGTGTCTTAAGGGCTCAAAATATTATCACATGCACATACATAAATACTTACAAAAGTAAGTAATAAATAAATAAAGTTCAAGATTATAATGGACAATAAATAAATGAGGTCATTATTACAAAGGCGAAAAAACAAAGAAGCTAATTAAAAGAGATATATACATTTATGTCTCCCTGTATAATTTAATTTCTACCTACATTTATTAGTCTATTGTAATATTGGGGCAATTAATTGTAGGCTTTTTTATTTATTGAGCATTTATTTATTTATTTTGAAATATGGCAGAGTTGGTCCTCCATATTATTGTAGTTGTGCTTGATGAAATAAATAAACCTCATTGTATATAATATAAACCTTGGTTTAATCATTAGTCAATAATTTAGCTTTATTAGCAGAGACTTGGCCTGTAATTGAATACTTTGGCGATCTGTTGTGTATGTTTTTCCTGGTTAATAATATCTTTTCACAATTTCATCTCTTAACCTGAGTTTAATATTTTAGGCAAACAAATTCTAATGGGGGATGTGGTTTCCATGGTGACTTATATGAAATATGTTAGTCTCATCTATAGGACCTTGAACCTGTGTTTTATTGTACTGTTTTTTTATTTGCTTTAGACTTCATATTTAAAATGGTCTTTCTTCCTTTTCACTTTTGTTAAGGTTGTTGGATTCTGTTTCTGCAACCCTTCAGCACTGCACGGCTGAACACCAGCTCAGCCTTGTAAACGTAATAAAGAAGCACCGTAAGTACACACAGAGCCATAGATCTTTGCAGATCGACCAGTCCGATGATTTTGTTCTGTTTGGATCATTCACGCTTCATATTTCTTTAGGTTTAGATGACTACGGTTACATAAAAATGATCAATTTCATCCGCTCAACAGTAAGTTCTCTCTGTTATTCAGTGGCAGAATTTACCAGAATTCTTTGAACATATCAAGCAAACCTTTTGTAAGCATGAAAAGCACTAAGATAGGGAGGAACCTCTAACATTTTGATTTGCATCTTCAGAAATGTGCTCCATCCTCGCTAATGGAGCTGTCAGAAGACCCCTTACCCTGGAACAAGGAAGACTTCCTGAGACCAGTCCTTCAGGATGACCCGCTGCTCCAGACAGGTACTACATCAGAATAATGCGGTGTCTCTGATCATCCCTGAGCACCGATCTATCTCTGACATTAACAAATCTACAGTTACAGAAGTATTTGAGCTACTTTTAGCAATTTAACAGTGATGCCACATACAGTGTTGAGAAATCCAGGAGGTGTTTAGTAGGGCTGGGTATTTTCGTCAAAGTCCTGAATCGATTCGATTTTGATTCATACAGTTCTAAATCGATTAATTTCAATTTGATCTGTTTTTACAATAATGAAAGTGATTCAACTGTGTTTCAAAATACTCATGTATTTTATTTTTTTATGTCATATTAAACACAAAGTGCAAACTTGTAAATCGGACAGTTTAAACTTGAGGTGTGAACAAAACTGTCTTAAAAGTGCAAACTTGTTTGTGAAAAGTTAAAAAGTGAAGCCTCACTCGAGCAAGCAAACGTGACACAGCGGGGACACAGCAGACATGCATGAGCTGCATTATCTTCCTGCACAAACCATATTTGCAGTGTTGTTTGTGTGTTTGCTGGTCAGCCTCCATTTGTTAATGTGTTCAATCAACCTATTCGCTATATTTGCAGCTGTCTGGCTTGAAGTACTCTTAAGTGCATCTTTCCTGCTCATTTTTATGTGAACGTCACGCGGGTCACTATAGAACTAATCGATGTCATTCCCTAGACATCGATTTTGCAAAAATGTAAAGGAATCGATTCAAAATCCTTTTTTTTTTTACCCAGCCCTAGTTTTTAGTGAACCAAAGGGAATTATAGGCTGGTATCATTAAGGGCTTGTGAAGTTTAAAAATACAGTTTAAGGGTTGTGATTTGTTATTTATTAATGATAATCAACCTTTTTTGTTATTGCAACTATAGACATCTGAATCAAAGTTGTCAATTTCATTTAACCCATCCTTTATGGAGCAGTGGGCTGCCACTGTAGCAACATTCTTCTGGTCCTGCTCAGGGACCCAAAGCAGCAGTTTGTAGGACTTAAACCAAATAACATGCAGCCTTCTCAGGGTCTAAGCCCCCATCTCTGACCACCAGGCATCAAGAACCAGCTATAAAACATAGGATTTTATTTGTTTTATGTTTCCTATTCCTGTGATTGAAAACTGATTGAAGATCCGTGTTCAGCTTTCTGGAGAACCTTAAAAGGCTTACATTTAATCAACTTGATTTTAGGAATCTAAAAGTCTTAAATGAGCTCAGACTTTAGTCATAGTCTAAGTTTACAGCTTACTCTGAAGGCACCTCCAGGCTTTATAGAACTGGAATATGACACACTTGATGAGCAAGTGTAGGTAAATAACATATTTGTTCCCATTCAGCTGTATTACTGTGATGCCCTGTTATAAAGGAAATAGTGATTCCTGTATCTCCTCAGAGGATGCAGAAAACTGCTGCATGTGTTTTAACTCAAACACAAAAGTTGAGCTCAATTGAATGATCTCCTCTTGCAACTTAGGATTCTTTTAAAAGCTTTTGTTTGCTTTCAAAGTTCTTAGTTGCCTCCACCTTCCAGGCTGAACTGCTTCATCCTTACACACCCTCCTGTTCCCTCAAGTAGAATGACAACCTTGTTGAGATCAAAGATTGAAAATATTATGATTAGAGCAAAAACAGAGATAGTCCTTATATAACTTGATATAGATGCACGTCATCACCTGGTATGCTTGCTTTGCTCATGCCTTTGTTGTTTCCAGACCTGGAGGAGCTGTGTGAAAAGGATGACATGTCTCCATCACCCAGGACCCAGCCCAGTGACGAACTGCTCCGCAGAGCCCAGGCAGCTGAAGCAAGAGCCAAACGTTCAGAAGAAGCACTGACCAGAGCCATGGAGGATCTCCACAAACTAAAGTCAGTGATAAAAAAAAAAAAATCTTATTTCTGTTGTTTTTTTTATTGTAAAAATCTGCTGTTTTTTATTAAATGCTTTTCCAGAACTTGCTTTGCAGGTGTAGGTGATGTACTCCTTCTGTGTTACCCTTTTTTGGCCAGTAGGGGGACACAGTGACCTCTGTATTAACTTAAACCTGAATTCACTTTGTTAGAAGTTTGAAGGGAAGAGAGGAGAGCTTAAATAGGAGAGTGGGGAAAATTCCACTGCAGCAAAGAACCTGAAGGGAGGTAAAGAAGAGGGGGAATTACAGGGGGTGTGGATGAGAGTTAGAAAGATAAATGCCTCCTATCTCCTTCATTTACTGCTATGTCCTGTGTGAATGTCCTCTTCTCTGGTCACTGCTTTTGTCTCAGGTCCAAGTATTAGAAGTTAATTGCCGGTCTGTTTGCCTTTGTTTTAGGCTCCTTGCTCAGGGTTTGGTGTTGAACGCAGAAACCAGCAAATCAAGCAACCTGGGCGCTGTTGCTGAGCTGAGGGAGGATGAGGATGAAGCCTACTTCAGCTCTTACGGCCATTATGGCATCCACGAAGAAATGCTGAAGGTTTGTGCTTCGCAAACGCACGGTCACTGAACAATGTTGTAAAGCAATGCTCATAAGCAAATAAGTCTTTAAAGTGAGTCTGGGCTCATCAGTTTGCAACTTGGTTGGAAGATCTCAATGTTGCATGCAAATGAAAACTATCAGCTTTCTGCACAAATTTATACTTTACGCAGGACATCCTTTCAAAAGTGACAAATCAGCAATGAGAGCGAAGCGCCCATGTGAGACGTTGCTCTCTGTACAGAACAAGAAAATTAATTTCCGCCCACATTAAAGAGCTGAAACCTGAAAGTGTCAGCACACACTCAGGGCCGGGGGGTGTGTCTGTTTCTGCTGCGTTTTTCCAACCCACTGCAACGCTTGGACATAAACCTGTTCAGTCCCTGATTGGTGCTTAGCACTGTGAAGTTTTGCGTTTCATCTGCGTCAGTCTGAAAACTTCATCAGAGCCCGAGGAGGGGCCAGGATCACGGTGGTCATCCTGGTCAAACAGCGTCACCATGATGCCGCCAGTGTTACGGTGATTGTTGATTCCTTCAGTTTTAAAGCAGCTTTTTTCTTTAACAATTGATTGGATTTTTGCACTGATCATGAAATATAAATTGGATGCAGTTTATACTGAGGTAAACTATTGATGGGAAATTTCTCTAAAATAAATGAAATATTGTAAATTTTGATGCACAGTTTTTAATGAAAAAGTATGAGCAAGACAGATGTGTTTTTATAAAAAAGGTCTTATAAGTTACTCCACATTCAAAAAGTCCTACATAACAGATTTCTGTATTAATCACATCCTAAATATTGTAATTTTGCCTTGAATTTGTTCACCTTGGCTATTGAGCCTCCAGTTTTATGAACACAATCAGCTTTTTAAGAAAGTACATATATCACTTTTTTATTAGACTGAAAAGTATGGAGAATAAAGATTATAAAAACAACCAACTTTAACACAGCATGGTATTCCGCATTGATCCTTTTATTTCAAACATTCATTTCACAGGACACGGTGCGAACAGAGAGCTACCGGGACTTCATGTACAGCAACCCAGAAGTGTTCAGGGACAAGGTGAGCCAATGTAATAAAGCGTGTGTTCACATGTCCGCATTAACTGCTATAATAAACATCAAAAGCTATTAAAGGAAATGGACGTTTGCTTTTTTTCAGAGAGCGCATTAATAAAGAGCCAATGTCTGATTTAGAACACCGTTCGGCTCTCTATTAGCACCTCAATGTCGACTGCATGGTCCAGATAACAGACGTGTAATTCACTGCCAAACCCATAACACTCCCTCTATACCACAACCCCCACAGTCTCTTTTTTTTTTTTCTTCTAAGCTTTAGCTTCAGGAGAAAGTAGCCGATGAGTGTGTAGTGGACAGAGGTTACGTGTGTTGATGGAAACTTGCATTATCAGGTTGGGTTGACTCACACGCAGACAGAAAAGAAAGCCCAACAGTATTATCAGGAATGGAGAAAGAAAAGAGTTGTCGTGTCAGCATTGTGCCTGCGACACTCTGTGAACTCACAGAGGCAGCAGGATACTCGCTGTGAGTTAGCCTAAATAGAGAGGCAACCGAACACAGAGCTACATTTAAATGGAGGAGTTGTTACTCCATCCCTGTCTCTGCAGCACCCCTTACAAATGCTATTAAAACAATTCGTTGCTCTTCCAACTCTGAATAGATACAAAACCAAATGCTTTCTCCATATTTGGTGTTTGATAAACCATTTAAGAGAGAGTTTTTTTGTGATTTTTGTTAAATTTAATTAAATTGAGATATCAGTGTTTTATTTTTCTTTGTTATAATATAGCAAAAATGAAATAAAACGGGCAGCCTTGACATTAAGTTGAATTTTAGTCTCTTGAAATTGTTGTAGGTTTAAAAATGTCAATTTTGCGCCTTACTTTTGCACCTTGTAGGTTAAAGATAGTAATTCCCAGACAAAGTCATGGAAAATTATAGCTTTTGTTCATGAATATCAGATCTGATTTGAAGAAAATCTCGTATCAAGTGGATTTTTTTCTGTACTCCCTATTAACCACTTTTACTGTCTGCTTTTTTAATGCTTTTATGGTCAGTTTTACGTTTCAGATCATTAAGATAACAAAACATACTTGCAAAGTTACACTTGGGAAAGAGAAAAATAGCAAAGTTACAAATGGGTCTGGTGTCCGTCTTTTGAAAGCAGTTAAAATAATTTAAGAATGATTGATTTGATTTAAGAAATGTCTTAAAAAGACATATTTTTAGTCAGTATTTTATTTTGCTTTTCACTATTCTAGTGTCCTCCAGTTGTAAAATATACAATACATAATCACATTCAATTTAATCTCAATGAAGCTTGCAAGAAAATATCACACAGATTAAGTTCTGAATTGGTTTGGTTCCTTCCTGTAATCTCCCGGCAGGTAGCTTTAGCCGGATCTTCAGTTAAAAAGAAATGTTCACTGAAGAAAATATTCAGGATGGATTTCATTGTGCCTTTTATTATAAATAAGTTTGTGGATAAAAAGGATTTAATATTTTAAATGTTGTAAGCTTTTTCTTTATCATTGCTTTTATCTGATCATATTATCAAGTTAAAATCATTGAAAAGGCCTGAAGTTTTGATTATTGAAATCATCTCTAACTAATATAGTAATCAATTACTAGTTAACTGGAGTGGAGAGACTCTAAAACGTAACTTTAGCTGACAGAGAAACCCATTCTGAGGAGCAATTAAACCAAAATTGTAAAATAAACAAATAAACTTTTGCATTTAAGAAAATTTTTTGTTCTGTCAAAAAAAAAAAAAAAACTGAAGAAGTTGCCTTTTTCTGTTAAAGGTTTTAGTTTCATCTGGTTTTAATTTCCTAAATCGTCTTCTTTAAGGAACCTTTTGTTATCTGATTAATAAAATAAGAAATAATCGACAGATTAATGAATTTGCAAAATAATCGTTAGTTGCAGCCCTAGACTAGATATCTTATCTGTCAGACACTGATAGAAATATATGTGTGGTTCATAGAATTCAGTACAAAGTTTGCATCTGTATTATTGCCTGTTCTTGTTTTGCAGGTGGTGTTGGATGTTGGCTGTGGGACCGGCATACTGTCCATGTTTGCTGCCAGAGCTGGGGCCAAAAAGGTGATTGCAGTGGACCAATCAGAGATCATCTATCAGGCAATGGACATAGTCAGGTGAGATGAACTGATAAATGTAAACTGCAATTTTATATATTTCTGTTTTTACTTAAAGATAATTCAATTAAACTGGTCTTTGTCCATCCCATGCTTGTGTTATTGGATTTTTTTCTCCAGCATGCAGCAAACAGTAGGAGTAAGGAGCTTTGTGTGAACTCCATCTACCTTTTATTTGTTGCAGCTGGCTGACTTCAATAGAGCTGCTGTCAATGGCATCGCCGTAATGTACACAATTTACACCTGCAGCTTGACTTGTTTGTCCCTCTGCTTTTCTCGCCTGCAGTTACTGCAGACTGAAGGCAGAGGTGACGTTCACACAAACGTGTGGAATACACTTTTCATTTCCTTTGTGAATCAAGTTCCCTCTGATTTCTGGTTCAGAGTGTTTCTAGTTTTCCAGGAGCTGGTTCTCACCACTGGAGTCCATTTACCTCCACTGGAGCTTCTGCTTTCACTATGACTACCTGTAAACGCCATCACTCCCCTGCTGAAATGCATTTTTGAATTAGAGGCCATTATGACTGCTGTTATTACCGTTATGTAAGCTAGCGACATATAAGCAAAACAACAGGGTTTGCTGAAGGAAAAGGATGTTTTAATTTTACAGACCACTGACTTGCTGTTGAAGTGTTTGCCAGAGTGTGGGTTATGTAGCAAGTTTCCTAGCAGTGACGAAAGATGTCCTTCATCCTCCCCCTGCTCATATTCTTTTTCACTCTTTTGTTCACATATAGATAAAGCCACAACCAGCAAGCCTTTTATATCAAGAGATGACTTGGTGCATAACTTTAAAGCTAGCATTTTTTGCATGCAAACTACTTCCCCTCAATGGTAATATGAGGATTCTAATTAAAGTTGCTCCTATTGGCTGAGCAGGAACATCCATCTACTATCTCTGCTCTGTCAGCAAAGTTTAAATGAAAAGTTTGATGCCATCTTTTTATGCTCCACGGTTTTTCCCTAACGGACAGTATTTCGATTCTTAGAAAGGCAATCTTATCCAATTTCTCTGTTACAAAGCACAAATAAAGAACTACAATGTATACATATGTATATATTACTAGAAAATTTAAAAACAGTCCACGACTATGTTAAAAAGAGGTTTTATATTAATGGACATCCTGGTAAAGTGAAAATAAAATGGATAAATCATTTTTTGGGGTCTAGTCTGGAAATATTATTTGGTCTTTTTAAATATGCTTATTAAATCATATTTACTTGTGTTTTCACCACAAAGTTTACTTGCTTATTTGCTCATTAAGCTGAGGTGCCAGTTGTTTTCACTGAACATTGTTAAAATGACCAATGAGAGTCGCCCTGTTCTGTTCATTAGACAATCAATTTTTGTCTGCTGACCTCTGAGAAAGGATTTTTTTTAGACACAAATCAGGGGAAAGACAGAAAATTTCTGTTTTTTATAGGTCCCAATTAGCTCAGTGGTTTCATCATTTGAAAAGGAAAGAAGTTTGAAACCATTAGAAACTTTACTTGAGTGTTCTCGCCTTCTAAACCTGGTGACTAGGAGAGAAAAGGCTTCATCAGGGAAGTGACCAAAAACCCAAAGGTTATTATTAGAGCTCTGTCTTTCCTCCTGAATGAGAGAGAGAAGCTTCCAGAAGGACATTTTTTTTCTACAACAATCCACCATTTAGGCCTGTATGGTGGCCTTTGAATTTGATTGAGCATCTCTACAGAGATCTGAAAATGGCGTCTCCCCTCCAACCTAAAGATGTTAGAGATATCCTAAAAAAAAAAAACATCATGATAATGGGCTGTAACTGCAGCCAAAGGTGGATTAACAAAAACTGTAAATGCTTGTATAAATGTTTTTTCTCCTATTCTATTTTAGTACGTTTGCAACCATCTCATATTTTTCTGCACATTTTTAAAAATAGGTTATTGTGTGTAGAATACAGAGGAAATAGATCAGTTTAATTTCATTTGTAATTAGGCTGTATTCACTTCTATATTTCACATGTAACACAATTTAATATAACATAGTAGTTATAGGTTTTCTATAAAAGTAGGGTTGTCAAAAGTATCGATGCTCAAAAAAGTATCAATACTGAAACGTTGTATTCGGATACAATACTCGTTTTTAAAAGTATCGATACAGTGCCACCACCAGTGGCACCTAAGCAGTCATTCATCTAAAGTGCAGAATAGAGGACAATGCACTTTCAGAACACTGTGTGATTGAATAATTCTGTGCACTTTTCAGTTTCAGACTTTTTTTTTGTAAGAGGTGCAGCTGCTGAGAATAATTTTTGTTTTTTAACCGGTTTGGCTAGTGTCATTGTTGTGCAAAGCATAGCCAAGGAAGAAAAACTTAATTTTAATTTTATAAGTTTTTTATCAAGCTTGCTTAATATTGTGCACAGCATACAACCTTTATTGTATTTATTTATTGTATTTTATTTATTAATGAAAATATTTCTGTAGAATTTTGGAGTCTTTGTTTTATCCTTGTGGTATCGAAAATGGTATTGAGTATCGAATATTTTCCTTAGTATCGGTATCAGGTTGAAAAGTTTAGTATCGTGACAACCCTATATAAAAGTATAAAAACTTTAGCTTTTTGATGTAATTTATGATGGAAGCACAGTGTACCAGAGAGTATATATTTAAGATTACAAGGGAATTCTGTTTGAAGATTGCTTCCACCCTCCCTCACATCCCCACAAACACGCAGAGATACAACACTCTCCCCTGAGTCCTGACATTGTCCTCTAAATTACCCCAATAATGAGATTACAGTGTTTCCCTCTTGTGTGAGGTGGATGAGGTGGGGTTATGGGTGTGGGGTGCATGGGGTGTTGGATTCTGGGAGGAGGTGATAGCAGCACTAGAGGAGCAGCCGAGATGGGAAAGACAGTTTAAGATAAGGATCGTTGCTGCAGAAATGCTCCCTGGGCTGCTGTGAGTAATTGTTCTGTCCTCTGTAACATTAGCTGTCATGATAATGGAATATTCACAGAGATTGATACCCAAACGGGATGCTCTGAAAGGAGGGATCATTTAAACGGCAGCAGCGATCTTCCAGTTCTTACCCAGACCAGGCATAATGCTGGCTCATACTTACAGTTTTGTCCTTTTCTCATATCTGCTTCAGTGTGAGAAGAGCTGGGATGCAGAGTAGAAAAAGCGCTGACTACAGACCCATGAAAAGTTTAAGGGATTAAAACAAACATTAGAAAACTAGAATTATGTCGACACAAGTAATAATGAATTCATCCTATTCAATGATATTTACTACTGGATTAGCCCACTATCTGACTGTTTCATGTCTTTTCAAGTAGTAATTTATACAATTTAAAGTTTCTGTCACAGTGCTTCCTATTTTATCCTGCAGATTACTATATCTGTGTGTTTTATAAACACTTCTATGGGCTCTAAAAATAAGAGGAGGAAGGGGATTTTGAACCTTAAGACCTGTTAGATTATTAAATTACTTGCTTATGATGGGCTTCTGTTTTTTTGGTTTATTCTGTCACTGCTGCAATATTTGAGTTACAATATTTGAGACCATCGTTATGTTGAATACATGCAGACAACCTGGCATAGCTTGTGACCTACATTTTCGTTCAAACACTATTATGTAGCGAGGGCGTATTTTTTTTACTACATCATGTCATCCATCTCTGTTGAAACGAAAGTCTGGATATAGGGCTTTAGAAAACAGATTGATACAGAAAAAGGGGAATTGGTTTGAGAAAAGGTGCATGCTTAGACATATAGCTAAACTCTTCTATAGTATTAGCAAATTTAAGGATTTTTTTCCTTTGCATGAGGCACACCTCATGTTTAATTTTCATAATTAAAGCATGGTGTGTCTGCAGCCTCTGGTGTCTGTTCTGCTCTCACCTTCTTCATCCTCTCTGCTTTCTTCTTTGATCAATAGATGGAGCGAGGCATGGATCTCTTTTCTTGTTTTTGTATTTTTATGTTCAGCATAATACTTCTGTGCTTTTTGAGTCCTATATTAAAGCTGTCAATAATCACTACTGCCACCCTCTGGTTTAGGGAGGAACTGCTTGTTCCACCAAAAGTACTATTTCACAATGTTACAGAATCCTTTAAAATTTTCCTGTATCCAGATTATGTTCTGAATCATCATAAACATTTTAATAACTGTTTCCTTGTCTTGAGGCACACCTCTGGTAGAAATGTTGTCAAGTCATAACTTTTCAAGTAATCCTGGTAAAAAACCAACAAATATGATTGAAAACATAATCTTATTGGTGAAGGTATTACAACTAGAAAAGATCAAAATCAAATTGTATTAGTAGAACCAAATATTTTCTTTGAAGAAATAAGAAATTCCAATAGATGCAGTTAAAAGTACTGAGGGAGAAAACGAATGGATTCATAAATGTACAGGCTCCAGAACAGAACGTAGTGGTATGCCAAAGGCAAGAAGATCATAGAGCAGCTGCAGAACAGAAGCTTTTAAACATAAATCAAGAATGTTAAAAAGCACAGCGAAATACTATTTCTACCTGTACAGAATAATGTTCTAGTGTTTTCTGTCCTGACTTGTAAAATGGAGACAAGTGGAATTGGTTAATGGTGATTTCTAAGTCTGAATAAACATGATGATAAAAAACATGATGATTTGCTGGAGCTTCAGGGTTTGCTGAATTAGTTGACTATGTTGTAGTTTTTGTGCAGATTGAGACATAAGCAACATGGAATAACAGTGGAGAAGCTGATCTCCTGACTGTTTGTCACCATTTTATATCAGACCAGAACATTTTTAATGTATCTGCAGCTTCTTACTTTCCTTCATCTCTTATGCAGGTCCAATCAGCTGGAGAACGTTATCACATTGATTAAAGGCCGCATCGAGGACATCAAGCTTCCCGTGGAGAAGGTTGACATCATTCTTTCAGAATGGATGGTCAGTAAAGTATTTATATCGCAGCTTTACATTCTGTTTCATGAAGCCCATTTGCTCTATTTATATTATTTTTCTCAAAACTATTCAATTAATGTATTTTCATCTCTTGGTGATGACCAAAAGACTCTAATCAGACACTTTATCTTAGCTCCACCCTTTTAGGAAGACTGTTCCTTTTAATAAACTAAACCAGCTGTAGTGTTAAGCACACCAGTTAGTGAGGAGAAAATGTATTTATATTATTATTACCAGTCCTGTTTTCAGCTGCAGGTATTATGAGGTATGTCTCAATTACCTCTGCATATATGCATATATGCATATATGCATATATATATATATATATACAGTGTTGTGCCTGAACGCGTTCATTGAACGAAAGTTCATGAACTCGTTCATATTTTGGGCGAACGTGAACTGAACGTACTGCATTATTGCCTGATGAACGTTATTGTGAACTCGTTCATTCTGGTGTCTGTGAACGGCACGCTCTCTCAGTTCAACTCCGTTCAATAGGTTGCCAGATTTCTATAGAGCCCTCCAGGCGAAACCCCAGCTAAATCACACCGTAAACAGGCCTTAATATGTAGCGGGAAAAACACCCAATCTGGCAACACCAGCTACCAGCGTCGTAGCCTACAGCCGCGTGCGTCATCAAAACAAAATGCAGCGTGGAAGCAACAGCAGCGTGGAGGCGACTTAAAACAGGTTTATGACCAGGTGGTCGGTGAGGATGATGGCAACAAGTTTGCCCGCCGGCTTTCAGTAAAAAAATCCGCACTTCAGTAACCTTAAATTCCTACCTCAGCCTGGTCCCTCAGTTTGTGTTAGTAAAATCTTCTTGAGCGGAGGTCTTCAACAGGGGATCCGCGACCCCTAGGGGGTCTACGGAGGTACTGCATGAGGGTCTGCATGGTTAGTTGATATTTTTATATTCCCCCCTGCATTTTTTTCCCCACTAATTGAAATGTCTTTAAATACTCATTAACATGAAATCAACACACTGTAGTAAACAGATAAATGGAGGCAGAAGATGTCTTTCAGTCATCAATGCACACATTCAGCGACACACAGGAGCTCTTTCAAGCTGGGCACCGTTTCATTCACAACAACCAGGAATCAGAATCAGAAAAACTTTAATAATCCCAGGGAGAAATTAATTTCTTTACATTACTCCATCTGTAATAGAGTGACTATAGGACACAATTTCATACAATATATATAGTTAGGGGGTCCCCGCTCCATCTCGTCATCAGTTTGGGGGTCCTTGGTCTGGAAAACATAGAAGACCCCTGTTCTTGATGGTTTTACTATCCATGTAACTTGTTTGTTAAACCTGCCTGGTATAATTTTCCAGGATTCCAGTATTCCTTTTTTGTATGTATTGAAATGGAAAAAATTATATAAAAAAAAAAAAAAAACATTTGCACCTTAAAGACTACTTTCCTATTTTTCTTTTAATAATTACTCATAAAAAAGACCATTCAAGCAGCACATTTTTCCTGATGTTTTTGAGAATATACTGTAGGGGTGAAAGCTGCAGCTGCTACTAGTGTGAAGTGAATGGACAGCAACAAAGCGTTAAAGCAACAATGGGGAAATGCTGTCCCCTCAATGCTAATGTAAACCCTGGTTGGATAAGGATTCAAAACTGGATATGAAGATGAAATCTGACGCACAGTTTCAGAGTTACAACTGATAAAATAATTGCTGTCTGTGGTTCTACAGTAGGCTATGGTGTAATTGAGCAATATATGAAAAAAAAAAAAAAAGAACTATGAACTAGTTCGTTTTTTGGAATTGTGAACTATGAACTGAACTAGTTCATTTTAAAATGTGTGAACTGAACTTTGAACTAGTTCACGTAGAAAGAGAACTTTCCCAACACTGTATATATATATATATATATATATATATATTTAAATAATCTAGTCTTATTCACAGAATAACTCAAGCTTTTTAAAATTTAATGGAAAATGTCCATGGACCTAATTTTTCAACATTTGCCAAAGACTCCCAGCATGATTTAGGGCTGTTTTTTCACTAGACCATTCTATCACATGAATACATATTGATCCAAATCATTGTGATTGTCTCATGCATGCCACTGCACTAGTTGAATCTTTTCCACAGTCTGGAGTCTGTTACAGTCCCTAAGAAATATTTTTAGAATTCCCGTGTATTTACCTCCATTCATCTCCAAATCCACTTTTTTCAGCCTCCATGCTGAAAAGCATCCCAACAAGGGCTGGATGTTGTTAGAAATCAAGAAAATTGCTTCTGTTTAGTTTTGGTTTAAATGCTTCAATATTGATTTTTTTTAATAATTAGAATACATTTTTTTGGAGTACCTGTTGATACCTATACATATATTATTATGTTTAAATATCAATGTGGGATACCAAACCAAAAAAACCCTAAATTGTTCTCCTTTCCTTCAGGGCTGTATTTTCAAACCTACATTGTTCTCTCTATTGGTAACCTCTGCACAAACTATTTCTCTGCTGCTCCAACTATAACTTTATCACTCTGCCGCATCTTTAATATGTCCTTAGTAGACTACATGTCAGGAATTTTCAAATGTGTTGCTTCTCTTTACTGAAGGGATTCCTTTTTTTAATATCAAATGTTTCCAGCACTTTCCAACTGATTTGGACTTATTTAATGCTGCTCATAGCTTCAGTTTTGCCAGTGAACACCATGACCAGCTTGAGTCACAGCACAGCCCATTTCTTTGAGTTATAAATAATCAAAGACGCTGGCTCACGAACTGATCCCAGTCCGAGACCATGTGCCGGTAGAGAAAACACTTAAAACCACTGCAACGCAAAACAACAGTGACGTAGAGTTAGAGCCTGACAGGACCTCCGTGGTCTGAACCACCGGCCCACATGGGAAATACATGGTAGTCCCATATTTCTATATTGCTGTAATGTAACGGGGCTTACATTGCCATTGTTCGGCGTTCTTCTGTGTGAAGCAAATCTCATAGAAATGTTGATCACTGTTCCCTGTTGTCTTTGTGCTTTACATCCTGATGTGTTTCAGTGTGAACATCAATCCAAAATTGCTTCTTGGTGGCTTACCATACCTTGTTACTCTCCACCAGCCAATCAGTGGATTTTATGTGATCCTTTTTAGCCGCTTAGCTCCAGGGCACTTAAAGACTTGCCGTTTCTAAATACATGTGTCCTTGAGAGTTCTCGTGTGCTCATGACACATCATCAGCCTCAGCCCGAGCACTGCTCCAGTTGCCGAGAATGCCAGACCGAGAATGCACCTGTTTTATTTGGCAAAATGTTCGTTTGATTTGTGTTTATCTGACTGTGTTAATTATTATTCCCCCATTAAATGAAAGTAATAATTTATCATTATCTAGAGACTATAAATAACAGGATCTTCAGACGAGCCGAGCATGTGGTGACATCATGAGTAGGCTTCTTTTCCAATTGATCCATATTTATGCTGCGTGCTCCCCTTCTCCCCGAGTCCAGACTTTCCTGTGTTCTTCTCAAGAACATACTTGGCGGGGACACGAGTCTGCACTCGGGTTCTAGTGAATTGAGAAACGGCCACTGTTTGATTTCACAGTGAGTCTAACTGTAGAAACACAGCTCTGCAATTTACTGTCAGAAACAGCAACATTGGTATAAGTTTGAGAAATGTAATAAGTTAGAGTACTCGTTAGAGAAAATAAGTAATAGTTACTTTAACTAATAAGGGCATCTGTTCCAATAAAGCTATTTCCATCGCTTGTCCCCTATTTAGGTTGGGGTAAACTGGGGCTGTAACACAGCTGTGTTTATAGTCATGAAAGAGTTAACATTAGTATTTGAATTCTACTCTCCAAATTTGTGCTCCTCATTGTTTATCTATCTTGTAATATCAAATATATTTAGTTGTTTTTACAGTTAATTTCCTTCTAAACTTAACCAACAAAGTAAACAAAAAGCTTTCATTCCGACTGACCCAACATGTTAACTTAAAAGCCAGCTAAAGGGACACTCCTTTAGCATGACGTCATCATAACGGGAGCTATATTTGGCTGTTAACTCCTGCTCTGAATAAATAACTAAGGACTGTCTTTCGTCCCCTTGATTTCCATTTATCAGGGAGATGCTCTGTGGCGATAAAGGCAGGATGGCCAAAGTTGAACGCACTGCTGAAGTCATCCTTAATTCATGAGCATCACGTATCTGTCCCTCCTCCCCCACCCACCCATTCATTGTGATACCCCAGGGTCACAGGCACAGGTCGCCAGCCAGAGCCTTTCCATCCTCTCGAAGGGGAAATTGAAATTCGAAGGCTTGACATGCCAGTGGAGCAGTGAAGGATAGGGGGCGTAAACTCTGATGACACTGGCTCACAGAGTGCTAATAAATCTAAGAATTCCCCAGTCACTTCTCATCAGGGCAGCAATGGCAGAAATTTCTCAGAGACACTAACACTTAAAAAGCTGCTCTCCAATCTGTCCACAGTAAAAATAAAAAATGACAGTAGTCCTGGGAGCAGTCGTTCTGACCAGTTTCTTTGGATTGTAAGTAACTTTCTTGACTTCTTTCATAAATCCAGGTCATGTCTTATTAACTACGACTCACCCTGGATGCATTTTCTCCCCGATCCTTTTTCTTGTGATTTAACTTTTTAATTAGTTGTTCAACCATTAGATCAATGTTTAAAGCTTATTAATAATACACTTTTAAAACTCAAAGTATTTAAGTCTTAAAAAACTCTGAGTTTATTTATTTTTTTTGTCTTTATTTCCTTTGCTTCCACCGCCCGCCCCCTGGTCGTTTTGACGTCACATTTTGTTCCGCATCTAACAGCAAGCTTATTTGTAAACAAAAACCAACATCTTCTACCTCTTTAGAATCTAGTGATCCTAAAGCAAACGACCATCAACTCAATTGTAAGCCAACTATACTCCACAAATACCACTAAATAATAGTCTGTCATCCAATTACAATTCATACTCTTTACTTATCTTGTTTTCGTCTTCTGGT